ACTACCTCATTTAATGGGAGGAGAGAGGATGAAGTAAGCAGAGGGTTTAAAATTAAAACAACAAAAGAAAGGAGTCACCTTTAATAAACACAGGTGAAAAGGGCAACAAAAAGCGACCGGCAGCTTCTTAGCTGTGCCTAACCTACAGCCAGATCCTCTCCGGCTCGGCTCAGCTCAACCAACAGGCTGCTGCTGCTCCTGCTGCTCATTCCCTGGGAGCTTTAGCTCTCTGAGTGTTACTGCAAATAAATGTCTGCAGTCCAGAGCCAATTTTAAGAAAAACATGCAGTGACAAAGGTAAAATAATGGAAAGGAAGGAATGGGTCCTGGCAGAGAGAATTAATGGTCCTCCAGCCTGGTCCCCAGTGAGCTCTGAGCTCTGCTTTGTGAGACAGCAAGTGGAGCCTGTGCAGAGCAGGAAGGGACTTGGGGAAGGATGGATATGTGTTGTGTGGGGATGATAGGACAGAAGGATGAATATAAGGAGTTAAATGCAGCTGGGGGAGTTGAACACGGTCAGCATTCAGAGAATGAAGGTGAACATTCAGGGAGAGAGTGAACTATGGAGGTTTCACTTATGGGAAGTGAACATACAACTGTGGTCTGTAGGAATGGGTTGGGTGCGTTTTAGCTTTAGGGTTTTTAGTTTTTAGCCTGATGCAGTCTATGTCATCGTGGATATTAGTGCTGAAGGACAGCCTTGGGTCAGAAAGGTCGCTGGAAAGCAAAGAGCTGCTGTGTCAGGTGCTGGCTGAAAGAGGTTCTAAGACTCAAGCCTGGCATTCCCCACCTTTGTGGCTGGTTAAACAAATACCTCTTGTGGGGGTGACCAGTCAGCCAGCAGGAGAATGGGCAGGAGAGGGTGGTGTGCTGTGCTGAAGGCAATAGCAGAGGAGCTAATCCAGCCCCTCTGGTAGCCACTGGCTTTGATGTGGCTCTGAAATCAGCTCTGGCTGGGTCTCTGAAGCACGACATTGCTTCAGCAGTGCAAACTGCTGCTTCCTGCAGAAAATTAATAAGGAGACTTTGAATTTCGCCCTGCATCTGACCTAAGCAGCTAAATAGGTTACACTCAGGTTTAAGAATTGCCCCAGTTTTCCTTTTAATAGGCGATTTTTCTGCTTAATTTGCAGAACAAGCAAAAAAAGCCATTATGTAAAATTTATCAGCGACAATTGACTGTCATTAGAGACGGGAGCAGGAGGCTTTGTTGTGAGGGGGAAGGAGCCTCCACATTTTCACTTCCCAGTGTTCGTGCTGACCCATGCCCTGAGCAAACTCAGACACCGATCCATCAACATTTCTGTTCTCACTAGTGCCGTTCTCACCTTCCTTCAGTCTGGTTTTAGAAGTCCTTAAGCAGTCAGCAAGCAGCTCTGTTTGCAGCGCATGCTCCAGCTGAATGAAGTGCCTGCAGATGGCATTGCTGTTATCACAGGGGGTGAGGAGGGGATTTTGCCATGTTGAGCAAGCTCAACTCCAGTAGAAATACTCCGTTTCAAGAGTGTCAGAGTGCAGTTGTGCGCAGAGCAACTTGCTGGGCGGACAAGTTGGACCATAGGTGTCCAGTTGTGCCTCATGGCCACATGGAGTTGGGTCTGGAAACTCATTCCTTAGTCTAACACAAGGGCTCTGGCTGCTGAGACCCACAAGGCTGCCTTTTCTCCTCCTAGGTCCTGTGTTGGATATAGAAGACATAGAAGGAGCTGCTGTCCATTCCTGGAGACCAGAACACAGCGTGGTCTGAAATGGCTCATGTTTTCTTCATGCTGCAGCAGCGTTTTTTGGCTCCAGCTGAAGGCAGCTGTGACTTGTGTTGTGCAGGGGGACAGGTAAACTGTAATATACTTTCCTATGAGAGACATAAAGGAAGAGGAAATTATTACTGACATTGAAACATTCAGATGGGGATTTTTCCTTTCCCTTTCCCCATACAGTAAATGTTAATTATACATGAAGGTTCACTACAGCAGAAGGGATTATAATTAATTTATATTTGAACTATAATAGATTTCACTATGAGCTGCATTTCATTGCAACAAAGTGGATTATGACTGTTGTTTGCTGCCAGCAATTTACATAAACCAACCACAAAGCATTGCATCCATTAATCCTGCATTAAGGAGAGCAGCAGGCAGAGAAAACTGTGGAAAAAAAGAAAGCAAGTCTGCTTAACTTGTGAGCAGAGCCCTTGTGCTTGTGGCAGACCCTCTGCAACCTAACCTGAGAAATGCAAGCAGGGTTTTTCATTCTTGACCCGATGAAAAATCATTTACTTTCCACCTCTCTTCCCTTTTTTGACATTACCTGCCTAGCTTTACGGCATGGGAGTTTCTCTGCAGCAGGGGTTAGCTTACAAAGGTAGTCTGGAGCAGCTCCCAGAGTGCCTGTCATAGTGTAAGTATTAAACCAACGATACCGGATGTTACATTAAAAGCATAGGACGGCGCATTGATAACTTTGAATTGGTGCTTTCTGATTTATTACTGCTAACACACTAACCTCACAGCTCTCCCTCCTCCTCATCCTTTTGTGATGTCTCAGTGATGGCAAATCTTGGGCCTTGGTTTCTTTGCCATCAAGCATACCCTGACACCTTACGGCCCTTCACTAGGGGGTGTATGAGACTCTGCTGATGCTTTCTGTTGCACTGCATGCTGTCTCTGGCCATAGCATTATGAGCTGTAGTCCGCAGACAGGAGCTTCATCCCTGATGACCCAATCTTAGACTGTAGAAAAGGGCAGGATGGCTTGTCAGGGACTTCAACAAACAGCTCGACAGGAAAGGTCAGAGTCAGCCCTCCTCTGGCACTGATAAATATTTCCTCTCCTGCACTGCCAAGGTTTGGCCAAGCAAAGGGAACTGCAGCAGGAAGGGCCAGGCGAGGGAGAGCTGGGAACAAGCAGCACAAAGATTGCCAGTGTCCCAGCAAAGAGGATTTGGAGATGGGCTGAGGCTGTCTCTCAAAACAATGAAAACTCTTTCTAATGGCCAGGTGAGTGATTGACCTTTGTTGTTTACCTTCACAAAGTGCCTTGGGATACGTGTGGTTGTTAGAATCAGTACTCTGTAGGATTCCCACTTCTTTTCCTGCTTCTTTTGGAGGCGTTACAGGACACTTTGCTTTTCCTGCTTCTTTTGGAGGTGTTACAGGACACTTTGCTTGGGGAACACAGGGCGTGAATGCAGCTTCTGCCATCTTGGGAGCTTGGTTGCCATCTCCTCAGGCCAAGGCACTCTGTCCTTGTTGGGCACCCAGTGCATGACTGGGAGCAAGGAGTTTCACTGCCTGCCATTGCTGTGCCAATGTAGAAGCACATAGGTGTGTGGCTGATCTCATGCGCCATGGCTGGGAGCAGCACTTCAGGTAGCCTGAGACATGAACCAGTATCAGGCTCTGGAGATGCAAGTCACCTTCACCCAGAGGACTCAGATGATGGAGGGAGGTCCACGTCAGCACTTCTCTCTTCCACAGAGGGCTATTAAAAGCCATGCTGCTATTGCAGCTGGGGTCTGTGGATGCGGCACATCTGGATGCACTCGAGCTATCTTTATGCTGGAGAGCTTGGGCACCAACAAATCAGAACTGCAACAGCAGAGCCCTCAGTAGAGTCAGCACAAGCCTGCCTGAGACCCTGGAAAATGAGCTGCTAGCTGAAGTGCTGCTGTCCTTAGCTCCTGAGCACTCCAATCTACCCAGATTAAGCAAGCCTGGGTGGCTGTTGTCTTGTGGCAGTGCTGAAGCACTATCTCCATTGGGCATTCTTTGCCCAATTTGCACTTGCTTTGCTTCCTAGCTATTTCATGGCTGTGCTGAAGGCACACTTGGCCACTTCAGTGATATCTGGTTGGCTTCCAAGAGCTTTCCTATGGAATTTGTGCTTATACTCTAGCTGTAAAATTAACACTCTTTCATGACACAGGGTTTGCTGTCCAGGGGGACCCGTCCAAAGGCTAGGAGGGGTTTTAATCCCAGCAGAGTGACACCTTGGCAGTAAAACAGTTTTGCTCCTGAGTTATTGTTGGAGGTGTTTGCTGAGAAAAGGCGAGAAGTCCCAAACAGGCTCCCTGGGCTCCACAGGAAGATGCAGGATGGGGTGTCCGAGTTTTGGAGCAGTACAGAACAGTGGTGCTAGTCCCTTCCCAGGTGATGCTGTGGGAAACAGGGGAACGGGGCTCTGGTGACAGCATTGCAATGCCTACGGCACTGAGGAGTAGGCACTGCAGGGAGTGGTGTGACACTGCAGGTATTACAGACCTGGCACCATCTCCTTCCCACACACCCCACAGCGGGACTTCGGCGTCGTGTCCCCAGAGAAACCACTTTTCCTGTGCTGCCTGAGCATGTGCCTTGTCCTACAATGAAAACTGCTGCGGTCTGTGGTGGGGAGGCCCAGAAATTCCTCCTGTCCCACAATAGCAGGGTGAGTGGGGTGAGTCCTCTGCCCCCTTTACTTGCCTCTGACTCAGCCTCTCAGATAAGACCATCTCCAGAAAGCTCTCGGGGTGAAACTGTTCCACTTTGCTGCTGTTTTCAGTTGCCAGTCTCACAAATCCCTGCTCTGATGTCACCAGCAGTGGCCCCATTAATGTTATTTATAGTGTTTGTGCCGTGGGCTTTGCTTGTGCTCAAGGCTCTGTTGCTGGTCTGCAGGAAGGGAGGAGCAGCTCTTGGTGCTTGCAGTGACAAATCTTCCAGCCTGGAGAGTATTCCAGATCCTTCATGTCCCACCCGGGCTGCTGGCTCTATCCCACACTCCTGGATTTGCTCCAACAACCTGAGCCATCCTGGGGCTTATTTTAGTTCTAGAGAACTTAGTTCTAAACATGCAGTAAGTCATGAGACCAAGCAAATCCGATAAAGATGCTCCAGGGGAAGGCAGTCTGCAAAAACAGATGCAAATGCAGCCAACCAGAAACCAGAAATATATTAGTGCTGAGAGAACAGGCAATTTCTCTCCTACAAGAGTTGCTTCAAAGGCCATGTCTGTCCCTGCGCTTCACCCATGAACCGCAGTTGATGGATGCACTGAAGGCACGTGCCAGTCTATGTGAGAAGGACCTTTGCTAACCTCAGGTGTTGCAAAAGCACGAGTCAGGCTTTTTATCTGATCCCACTAATCCTAAACATTAACAAGAGAAGATGAAGCAGCAGGCAGGGCTTCTGTATTTACCTTCACTTACCTTCGGTGTTTACCTGCAGAGGTTTAAATCTCTGGAGTTTGGGTCTTAAGTGTGCACTGGTGTCAGTGCAGAGGAGACAGACTTGGGCAGGTAACACATGTCTACAGAAGAGGCTGTTGTGTCTTTGAAAGCATCCCATAAACCGCTTGGCCTGAGGTCAGTCCTTGGGTGACAAATTTATTTACAGTGAACCTGTGCCCTGTTCTTTCTGCGTTTCACTTTTTCCTGCAGTATTTCAGCTTGCGAGAAGCCACTCAATGTGTTAATGATCAGGAAATAATCACGTTCTCAACCCACGGCCAAGTAGCCTCCGTCTCCTGCCATCTGTAATAGCAGCCTGCTGTATGAATGTCCCTCAGGAACCCCTGGGAGGCACAGAGCTCTACCCAAGGCACAGTTGCTCATCTGCTGCTGGAGGATTGAAGGCTCTTTCCCGTGTTTCAGTGCCAGGTTGGTGACTTTCCCAGTGACATCAGTCTCAGTTACCTGCAGCAGGCTCCTGTCCGACCTGGGTGCAGAGCTCTCCATCAGCACAAGGATCTTCTGCATGGGCTGTGAGCATCCTGTGGTAGAGACTGATGGCAGGCAGCAAGAACCACAAGGCTGCAGAGTCTCGCAGCAGTTGCCATGCATGATGGAGGAGGCTGTCAATCAGCAGGCAGCAGCATCAGTGCTCTGTTAAATCAAATCTACCAGAGTGGCTGCCTATGTTTGTGAATTGCCACTGGGTATCAATTACAGTTTGCCAGATCACTCTCTAGCAGCCTTGCTCCACACTGCTGTTATTACATTGTCCATGCTGTGTGCCTTTTGTGGGTTTAAAGGCAATGTATGATATTGCCTCACAACCCAAGAGAAATCCCGTTTTGAGGGATGCTATTCAGAGTGATTGGTCACAACCATTAGACCTAACACATGGCTTGTTCTGCCACCTAATTCATCTTTAGCTCTTCAAGAGACTGGCACTAAAGAAAGCACAATTACTGGGCTCGATCTGGCCGCTGCCGACTTAGAGCTGATGGCCTTTGTTAAGTGGTATGAACATAATGGCCTCCACTGGGCATTAATAGCTGGAAGACTTTGAACACAAGACCTTGGGCAATTTTTTGCAACCCTGTCAACTGTGAGCTGTGTGTCTTTGGGCAAGTCTTGTTTTCTCCCTGTGGCCCAGCTGAACAAAGCATGTAATAACACTGCGGTGCCTCTGAAGACTGGGTCATTGCTGAATTAATTCTTGCTGTGTTTTGGTTTTGAGAGAGTTTTGGATGCCAACTGGATTTTAGTGTGAAGTAGTATTGATTATCATCACGCATCTATACTGCAGTAAATTGTTATTCATTTCCTTATTGCTTCTCTTCTCTGGCATGATCCTTATGAGGTACCTCAGGGGGCAGGTTAATGAAACTCTGTCTATTAATATTAAATTCTAAGGGAAGCATTAACTTTAGTCCAATCCTGCTCACTGCCCCAGCACAGTCCATCCGTTTGGCACAAGGCTCCAGCACGTTTCCCAGTGCCAGGATGACATTGTGCAGTGATCTATGTTTCCTTGTGTGTTCCCCTGCTGCATTTTGTAACTGCTCATCTGACCTGGCATTGCTGCCTGCCATAGGAAGAGGCTGCTTTTCCATGAGTGATCTCACAGGGCTTATTCTTATAGGTATATTGAAGTTAATGATCCTCTTTCTGAATGGGAGGTAAGGAGACAAAGACAGAGCTGCTGGCTTTAACTCACCTGAAAAGCTTCAGATACGTCTGGGATGAGGACCGTAGATGAAGACAGAGCAGTGTAATGACTGGTAAGAGAGTGAGCAATGTAGCAACTATGGACAGTGACCTTCTCAGCATTAAGCATATTGCAATATATTGCAGGAAAAAGGCATAAGACCCCAGACTCCCAAAGGTGACAAAAAGTGATGCTGAATCCAGCAGCATTTGAGCATCTAAATACTTTTGTAGATATGGACGTAAATGCCTTATTTAATCTGAATTAACATGACTGGAAAAGCAAAGCTTTAGCAAGTGGAACATGCTCTGTCTGCCGTTCTGTCTCCCCTCTCCACTGTAACTGCCATTTTGTATTATGGGCTGCACACGTTGCCAGCCTTGCCCCAGGCAAGGTTAATGAGTTGTGTTCCCTGTGATGTGCCTGGCTTTGGGAGAGCCACACCGTAGCTGGTGGAAGGATCAGCACTGGGGAGCTGACACAAGGCAAGCTGGAGCCAGTGGCTGTGATTGATCCCCAGTGGTTGGCCAAATGCCACAATCAACAGTGCTGCAGCACGGTGATCCCAGTGTGGTGGGTGTCTGAGGCACTGCTGAGCACATGGCAAATGGCTGGAGAGAGAAAGGGAAGCCAAACTTGCCAGCTGGACGTGGGGCAGTACAGGAGAGAGGGCACGTAGGATGCTGTCATGGCTTAATACCCATAAAACTCAGGGTCACAGAGGGAGACTATTAATATAGATTTCTCAGACTGCTTCTTTCCTCTTCCTTCTAGTTTCCAGTATTTCCTGGTTCCCATCTCCTACAAAAACCAAGTTGGGAGAGCTGGGAAACCTCTTCTCTCCTCCCCACACCACTGGTCAGGTTGTGTCTGAAATCTCGAGCTAAGGAGCAATTTCACCAGCATTTTACCTACCTTATGCCAACCGCGGTGTGCAAAGGACTTGTTCTACGAGTTTGCCATCCTTTCCCATACAGAGAGGGAGAAGCATCCTCATTCAATATTAATCTCCCCTCCATGGATTCAGGCTGCTTCTGAAGGTGTATCAATTATTTAAACCTGTTTTAAAAGTTTCCAGGATTAAAGAGTTTAGTTTCTTGTTGATTTTGGTAATTCCTCCTGCTTTTGCACCTCTGAGGCTGAATGCAGCGCCACTACTGAGCTGTGCCCCGAGTTCCCCCTATCCAGGGGCAAAATGGGTATTTTGTTTCCATTTGTAAATGCCAAGTGGTAAAAGCAGCTCCTGCAAGGTGGGTATCAGTAAAGCAATTGCAGATTTCCCTTGCGATGGTTTGTATTTGAAAGTGACATTTGGAAGTGATTTGAGAGCTGTATCCCCTTCCAGCTGACTCCAAGTATCAGACCAAAGAACCTCCTGTGCTACCGTCCCAAACTTAATGTCTAAAGATCATCTCTTGTCCCCTGCAGAATGGGTCTGTGTTAGCTGTGAAGGAGCAGCTCACCTGCAAGTTGAAATGGGGGCTGCAACTGGCACTTAGGAAAATCGAGATAAAAGGATTAAAAAGAATAATCAAAGAGCTTTAAACATCAAAAAGAAAACAGGTCTATGAAATATACATGAAAACACACTAAAAACTCAAGCCCAGCATTATCTGTCTCCCATCCGATCATTAATTCATGGGGTCGTGCTGCCAGGGAAAGTGAACTCCTTAAATGGGTTCTTTGACTGGGTCTTCCCTTTGCTAAGCAAGACCGAGCAGTCCAGCTCAGCCCTCCAGCAGAAGGGAACGTTTGTGGCTTCCTGTGATATCCCATAGATGTACCTGGTCAGGCAATCTTCACTTAACAGAGGGAAGACCCAAGCTGCTATAATTACAGATAAATCAGGAAACCCCCTCAGTAAGCTTTTCCCTCTAAAGAGTCACTGTTAGAAAGAATCAGATGGCCCAATCTTTTCCTCCCCATCTGTTTCGTCCTGCATGATAGACTTTATCCATCAGCCCCAGAAACCCTTCTTGTCCCAGGCTCCAGCACAGTCATCATCAATCACATGTGTGAGCCATGGCACTAGAGCCTCATCACAGCCTTTCCTCTGCTCACAAGCACCGCAGCTCGGAGGCAGAGAGGGAGATGCACATTGCAAATATCCATCATTGTCTCCTGCAGGGAAAGGATGTTGGGAGGGGAGAAGAGAGAGATCCTGTGTCTTAAACTGTTTTCTTTTTGTTGTCAGTGTCTCTAGCTGGCAAGTGATCAGCCGCAGGAGCTGAGAGCATAGAGGGAATGTGGCATGAATGGTTGTGGGAGGAAGGTCAGGTAAGGAGGAGCACAAAATGTATTCCTGGTGCTACCATTATTTGTATTATAGTGGTCCTACCAAGCTTTTAGCTTGCAGCATCTGTCCACCTACTGCAAACACCTTTATAAAGGTCAAGGGCATCATCTTCTTTTTCTAAATGAAGAAACTGAGGAAGGTTTTGCTTGCACAAGGCAGAGGTGCGGAACTGTATGGCTGTAAATCATGCCTGTAACGACAGAGAACAAGGTGTTTCTTATGCCCTGTAACACTGCTGATTCTGATTCTGATGAGAATTTAATCTCTGAGTGCTCCTAGTTGTCTGCATGAACTACTCCAAGAACTCAGGCTAAGGCTGATATCCACAGCCACTTGGAATGTGGCTTCTTGTCAGCCTTAAGGAGGCTGAGCATTGTGGAGCGCACATTCACCATCCGCAGCATCACCAGGCTGTGGTCTGTGGCTGATACGACCCGCCTGCATGGAGCTATACTGGATGTTGCAATAGGATCTGAGTTGTGCTTCAGGAACTTTCTGGAGAACGAACGCAGCTGCCTGGATTTGCAAAGCAGAAGTGATAGACAGCTCAGAGCAGGAGCAGAGGCTTTGAATGATGATTTAGAGCTATAGGCTTCTGCCTTTGTCCCTCTGAATTACAGATGCTACATTAGCTCGAAAGAAACAGCTTGTATGAGTACCTCTGTTTTAAAGTTACATGTATCACACGTCTTGAGCTGGAGATCCATCAGAAAAGGATTTATCAGTCTTGTCCACACTTGTGCTTTGAGCAGTCCCACGTGCAATACAAAAGCAAGATCTTTCATAAGGCTTTTTTTTTTTTGCATTGGTCAAATATTTGACACTTCTTACCCAACTGCTTGTCTCCCACCTGTGTTAGGCTGGTTTGCTGCTGATCTCAGTTCTGCAGAGCCACAGTAAACCCCCTCAATTCCCTCATTATGCTTCTTAAGTACAAAGAATGTGTATTTATTTTGTCCAAGATCAGTTGTGGAATTAGTAGCCAAGCTGCACAGACCTCCCAGTTCCTGCTTCTCCCAGGTACCTGAGTGCAATGCTTTCTGAATCGCATCCCCTTCCTTCAGCATCTAAGCAGAACAAGCTTTCTGTGGGACCGGTGAAAAGCAACATCAAGTATCCAGGCAAGGGATGGATGGATGGAAACACAATGGTAATGAAGCTGGCAAAGAAAGTTGTACGGAATCAAAACACCTCACGTTTCCATGCCTTTCTGTCCTTAAAAACTACTCTGGATGCTGGTTACCCTGACTGGCTCAAGCCAGGGAGAGATCAGCTCCTTCTTCACTGCCTTTGTGTCCCTGCTTCCCATCCTATCCTAGTGTAGTCTTCTGTGAAATTGTTTTCTTTGCAGAGACGGAGCTGCCTTGTCTCTTGTAATTCCACTAGGATAATCCTCGTCTCTGAGCTAGGGAAGCAGGGAGCGTGGTCACTGAGGGGAGCGCTGGGGAAACACAGGTATCCACACACATCCCCCTTAGTGCTAGGGGAGCTCAGGCAAGGAGATGCAATTAGCTCTTTCTTTCCTTTAGTGCTTGCTCTGTGGTAAAGTAGAAAAGGCTCAGGGAGCAGCCAGGTGGGAGGCTGTGTCAGTGAGCAGGAAGAGTGGGGCACTGGGGGCAAACGCAGGGGGAGCAAATGCTTTGTACAGGACCTCCCCACATCGGGAGCAGAGCGATTCACAGGCAGTGCACGTAGAGACCTGGGGCTGCTCAGCATCAGAGCTGAACACAGGGCCAGGCCCTCAGCGTGGTAACTCCGCTGACCTTCCTGCAATTAGTACAAGAGGTTTTGTCCCCAGGTGCTTATGATCTCAAGCCATGAAAACGAAGACCTGGAACCTACCTGTCAGTGTAACTCTGATGTAAGAGGGAAAGACCTAGGCCTAATTACTTAGTTAAGTAGAGCATCCTCCTGTGACCAAGACAAGCGCTGCTCTCATTGTTACACAGAGCTATGCACATTTCCTTTAATATAGCTAACAATTCCCAACTCAGCATCTGCAGCCCAAACCATGAGGTGCCAAACCCAAAGGAGGCATAACTATTCCATGTGTGTGATTTCCAGCCAGAAGGGAACACTGTGGTAAGCCTCCCTCACACACAGCAGGTCTTTCCCTTTGCTAGATAAATGATGACAGTAATACTGGGCTGAACAATCCCCAGTTCCACCAGAGAGCATCTTTTCTTGAGAGGTAGCCAATAGCCATGTTCAGATGCTATCGACAGAGCCTGCAGTTGAGCTGCATCACACCGGAGCCCTGGCACAGGGCTCATTGCTCCCTGTGGAGACAACAGGGCTTCTTTGAGAGCTTATTGTCACCGTATCAGTGCTGCTGCTCAGGTTATCAGCCAGCATCCCAATGGCAGTGCTGAGGAAGATGCTTATCCGATGGGCTGATTAGTCAGTAATTTCCTTTTCTTTTGTATTTGCTCTGAATCCTGGCTGTTGCCAGTAAGGAGGTTTGTGTTAGTTAGGCATGTTCCAGTTAGTCCAGAATCACCTGGTTGTGACCCTTGATGCTCTGAGCTCCAGTGAGGTCTGACAGGCAGCTGACAATATTCTGTAGTCCCATCAGACAGAGCAGATTTAAACCTGAAGTCAATCTGTAGACATGTCATTGACATGCATCAAGCCATGCACAGGAGTAGGGAGACAGCAATTGGCATGGAACTTTGGGGTCTGTCACTTAATGTTTACATGTGATGGGTGTCCTGAAAGATGAGGGGTTGTCATTCGCATCCTGGGTATGCGAATTTGTCAGGCTGACAGACAACAGC